AAAACAACTGGACTTTATTTATAACTGAAGAGGTTTCGGTTTTCATCCGAGGAACTTTCTCAATTCAAAGAACAGAGTGTGGAGTTCGATTTAAGGCACCCACATACTCGGGCGTACCGTGTGTACTCTGTGAGCCGCACGAACTCTGCGCGTACTGTCTGCAGACGGTTGAGACTTCATACTCGAGCGTACATCTTGATGGGCTGCAGCCCACCTCTGCAGGTAAGGGGTGTTTACCTCCAGGATAAAATGAGGTCGCCAATTGGTCATTTGCTGACACACCTACTGGATTGATTGACATGTCGTGTTGCAGATCTGACTCGTGGAGAAAAAGTAGGGGCAGGGCGGCTCAGGAGCAGCAGCAGCAGCGGTGTTCTGTGTTTATATGTTGTTAATAAAAAGTTCTAAAAAAATAAAACAAACAGGGAGCGCTGGCCCTGCAGCCCACACATCAGACCAGCCCACCAGGAAATCTCCAGACTCTCCAGATTAGCCACGCTGGGCCTGTGCATACAGATTTTAATTATTTTGTGATAAATTCCTTCATTTTTCACAATTTCAGCCATGGCATCAATGGACGAGTAGGAAGAGATCGCTTGCCCCTTGAAAAGAAAAAAACAAAAGGCCATTAAACCAGACCAGGGTTGAAGAAGGGGAATTTAATTCACTGGTGAAGGACATGAAGATGATGGACAGCAAGAAACGTTTTGAATATTTTTTAATGGATTCTAGCAAGTCTAGCTAGTTGGGTGCTTAGCCCTATTTCTTCACCACCAGGGCAGCCACCGCACACTAGAGAATGACACAGGAGTGGATTTTCACTCCTGTCCTGTCCTGGTCCCACAGAAAAAATCCTGTCCTGTCCCAATCCTGGTCCAAAGTAAAAAAATAAAAATAATCCTGTCCTGTCCCACTCCTGGTAACATGACTCCTGCTCCTGTCCTGCTCCTGTTCAGAATCACTCCCACTCCTGTCCTGCTCCTGCTTTTCATTTAATTTTTAGGAAATACATTAAATTTGATTTGATCTTCTACCCATTCCTGTTTAAATTACTTTGTGTTCTGTAGTTTTATTGCATAAGATATGGCAACAGGAACAGTTAATCTGTGGTGAAATGGAGACATTTATTGTCTTAATCCAAACAAAAACCTTCACTAAATGTCATAAAACAAATAATCTATGGCCTGTAGTCCATATAATTTTTCTACGGAGGATCAGCTGCTGAGTCCCTGTTTCTGGCTCTTTTGAAGGTCAGTTACAGTAAAAACAAAAAATAAAAACCAGTACATGTGTCACACCATGTCTACCTGAGATGAAAGAACCCAAACATAAGAAGTTGCATTTTACTAATTTATTGAGCAATTGTTTCCTTTAAACAGTGACATTACTGTCATGTTTTAAATTGTTTAAACAAACAAACAAAAAAGAAAAATAATGTACCAAGCAGAAAACTCAACAAATAAAAATGCTTAAAGGCATTATTATACATTGGACGACGTCCTCAAGAAGTTCAGTCTATGTGGTCGAGGTAACGAGCTCGTTTGGGCGAAGCATGATGTCGTGCATCTTACCAGACTTCAGAGCTTCATTTACAGACTGGATCATTGCAGGTCTGGTGTTCCACCTCATCTCTCCACAGCTGGACCAGTCCAGAGCCTTGTGTAACCTAAAAGTGAAAGAAGACAGTGCACGAGTCAAAATAGGGTTACCATGACTACAAATTACAATTTGTTGGCCTTTCTTTTGGAAAAAAATATTTGATCAAAAACAAGAGATTTACAATTGAAATTAAGTCAAGAAAATGTGACCTTTGCCATTATAAATTACACTAGCTTAATTTTTCTTTATTTATTTCACTTATCATATTTTATAATTATTTAAGCGGCCTCACCAGGCAGACATTACAAGATTTTATGTATCTTACCTGCTCTTTTGAAGTGTGTGACAAGGGCCTTTGTGTCCAAAGCTGTTTAACAGTTTGCTTCCAGAGCTAACAGCTTCCTGTGTTATGTAGAAAAATAAAATAAAATTAAAGACAAACAAAAAGCTTAGTGCTACTTCTTGTGCCATGCTTTATAAAACAGTTATTGAATCAAGTATTTACTTATGTAGGTAAACATAGATGTTTTAAAACCTGTTAAAATACACCAGAATGCAGGAAATAGCAGCTACTTTATTCAAAAAGTTATGGTGGTGGACCCACAGACCTCGCACCAATATGTCCCCCCTACAATAATTCTAATGCTAATACACACTGCGTGGTTCAAGCCAAGAGCCATTGTCAACACTGGGGGGCTAAGGCCCCTAAAAAGGGCTTCTAGAATCGCCCCTGTTGTGAAGAAATGAACTGAGAAAAATCAACTCTAAAATTTAACACACATAATTGTACACATCATATCTTAAATCTAAAACTAAAACAGTAGTTATAATATATATGCAACCAGCCTTTTATATAAAAACTGGGAAATTTTTCCCGGAGAATGCTTTCACTCTTAACAAGTTTGTTGTTGTACTGGCATGGCTTGTGGTCGACAGTAACTATTTACACAGTAACGTGATGGTTATTCACGTTTTCCTCGATTTCAGTATCCAGCAGGACGTCACAATATAAAATAGGAATATTTTTACTGGAGAATGTGTGCACTTTAACCAGGTAGTTAAGGTTTTTTTGTGTGTTTTTTTTACATTACAAACAGCGACAGATAATGAAGATTTTAACCTAAAAACCCACATAACAAAGCAGAGCATAATTTTTAAATTAAAAGGGACAAGGTGGAGAAAAATGTGTGAGTCTTTATTTACTGACGGTAAACAAAGCAGCTCCTCACTGCAGCTAAGACTAAAGTTTAAATCAGCACAGCAACAACACAACTCTCGTGAAGTTCAGGGTTATTTGACACTTTCCTGCCAGTTCTGTGAGTTTAATAGACAGACAGTTACTTGTTACCTTGCGTTGCAAACTATTTTCAGCTACTCTGTACCGCTTCCCTGCTCCTCCCACTCTCGGTGAAAAGCTACAGTTGGAACAGTTGACTTCTGGGCAATGTAGTTCTTTTGACTTGTGTTAAAGTGAAGGCTTACTGAAAGAAAACTACAAAATAGCTGCGCCCGTGTTTTTTTTGTGTTTCATTTTCATTTTTGGTTATTGGTTGGTTCCTGCTCCTGTCTGCTCCCGTTAGCTTTCAGTCCGGTCACGTCCCAGTCACGTGAGTTATAATGAGGTTGACTCCGGTCCTGCCGGAATCCGGCCGGAATCACGTGACCTGCGGTACTCCCG